TGATATTATCGGTGTTGGAATCGTGATGCATGGCATGCGCGGCCACCCTAGTGTTCCCTATCCGGAACTTAAGTTCTCTCAAGTGGCTGGAGTGTTCGGCAATCTCTCGTTAGCCTATGGTGCCGGTATCGTTATTCCTGACCTGCAGCGTCAGCACAGCGACCCCAGTCGCATGCCCCGAGTTGTTGGCATCACTATCGCGTTTGCTTCAGTTCTCTTTCTAGTTCTCGCCAGCACGGCGTACTCTGTTGTCGGCTGCCAGATCTCGGGCAACTTGTTGTTCACTATTTACCCGGATAGCGGCACGGGCCTGACCTCGTTGGGTTTCGCGTCCGACTGGGGAATGGTGGTGCTCGCCTACCTGTTCATGCAGCTGCACATCACCATTGCCTTCTCGGTCGTCCTGAACCCGGCCTTCTACCTCGCCGAGTTTGTGGTCCTGGGTATGCACAAGAAACCCACCCAGGACACTGAAAGTGGCTTCGCGTTTGAAGAGAACGCTACCCCCGCTGTTGACACAAAGAGCGCGGACAACGCTGGACAGCCGAATCGTCGCTCCAAGATGTCTTTCGTGTCGGTGGCTAACTCGGAGCGCGTGCACGACAATGAAGAGGACGAGGCTGCGGAATATACCGGTTCCAACGTCATCAAGTACGTGATTCTGCGTATCGTGATCATCGTCGTCCTAGTGATCCTCGCCATCGTCTTCAAGGACCATTTCACCGAGTTCGCCGACTTTGTGGGAGCCTCCTGCATCACCATGAACTGTATCTTGCTCCCGACTGTCTTCTACCTCATCAAGGCGTGGGGTCGCATTGCCATCTACGAGAAGGTGGCAGCTGGCATTGTTCTTGTGGCATGCTCTTTTCTGGGTTGCTACGTCACGTACACGGCTGGTAAGGCACTGTTTGCCCCCACGGAAAACGACGCCCAGTTTCCGTACTGCCACGCCGATTTCGAGAACACCATATACTACAACTACACGGCGGCGCACCTAGACTAAGCATAATCTTTCCTGGATATGTACAGGTAACCAGGACTGTTATGAGGAAGAGGTGGATCTCTGTTTTTTAATGTGCTGCAATCGGATTAATTGCAAAATACACATTTTGAAGGGTGTATTTCCATAAAAATAAGCACTCCTGGACACAATTATAGAGGACGAGAATGATTTTGAATGTTTCTTATGTGCATGCAAATAAGCACTTTACATTAATATGTTCACCGTAAGTCTTGGCGGGCTTTGTTCGATCTCTCATGAGAATAAGTCGAGTAGCAATTATATGGCAGCAGTAACATATACCTCAACCTAGTTGGGAAAAACAATAGAAGAGTATGCTGAGTATTTTTGTCACGATGTACTGGCCCACTAGCGTTAGTGCTAACGCTAGCTGTTGACGGGTGGAGTGTTCCCAATTCGCAATTCGCGCTATTTGGCTCAAGTGGCTCAGGGCTCACCTCAAGCACCTCTTCGGAAGATTTCTCTTCTCGGACGCGATGTCCCCTCTCGTGGGGACGAAAAAGAGAGATGGGGTACGCTCGAGCGCCAAGCACGGAAGCGACGACGTGCTCAACGATTATCATGACGACTATCATCCCGCCGCAGCATGCGGGGCTTGGTGGCCTCCGCATAACACCAACACTAAAGCGCAACGGACTGGCGACCGCCACGTTCAAGATGAAAAGCACGTGTGCGCTGTAAATCTAGGCTAATATATAAGCAGGAATATCGTTTCTCACTCTTTGTGATCTTGATATGAAGACAGCAGCAGCAACAAAAAGCGACTTCCACGCGTTCTTCCTACAGACAATGCTGTCGGATGTCGTTAGCTAGGGCAGTTAAGGGATAAGCACGTTCCAACAATACAATAGAAATGCTGTACTGATGGTAATCAACGACGTCATCAAGAAATAAACGCTGCTGGTTTTCGAGCCTCACGAACGACAAAATTGGCGTTTTCAAGCTCATTTTTATTAAACAAGAAGGTGTATATAAAGCACGGGTGGTCGAGTCGAAGACAGTGAGCATGTTCCGTAATTCATCCAAAAGTGACAACTGCATTGTTTTTCAGCTGGAAGCGAACGGGGAACACACAGATGCCAGCGGGCTCTCCTCTTGATAAATTGTATACATTGAAAAATAAGGATTAGAAGTACTTTAAAAAAGAAGATGTGTGCTGTCACGAAGTCGTCGTACGCTGCGAGCAGGATGAAGTTGTAATGGCGATCCCACGCAGTGCTAAGACATCGACCAACCAAATTCAATATTTTTCGTAACTGTCCTGGACAGTTATAGTTGCGAAAGAGTTACTCTCGTCACGACAACGTTGGTAGCTTGAGACCATATGTTA